AATATATTGTTTGGTTGGAGATGCTAGGTTCGGGATTTAGAGGATCTCTTGTCCAAGACTCGCATGCTGCTGCTGACTGAAGCCCACATATGTAAGCCCGAGCAAAGTCAGGGGTGTGGGTAGTTTGTATAAGTAGATAAAAAGACATTAGTATCCTAAAAATGGGTATGTATTAGATTGGACAATGGAAAATTTATTAAATTCTATGAAAAATATTTGATGATACTAAGGATCAATCTATGGACCCCACATAAATTTATGTGATGTATTAAAACAAGAATTACTATTTTTCATATTTTATTTTTATTTTTTTGTTAGGATGAGATTTTAATTAGGACTATGCTAGAGTTATTTGTTGCCTAAATCATGCCAATTTTCTTAATTATATTAGACATGTGTTTTATTGGTAACTGATGATGGTTCAGAATGTTCACCGAGCTCCAGATGTTATTAAGAGTTGTATCTATCTTCCTGGATACCTACAAAGGCAAGTAAGAGATCGAAGAAACTCTGGGGATTGACCCTTCGATAGTAAAGTCAAAAAGAATTGTTTGAGGAAGTAGAGAAAGCTTATGTTAGTGTTTCATTCACTTACCTCAAATTCCTTCGTGGGTTCCCCCTCTTATAGGCGATTTGTTTAGGCTGTTAGCGGATCTTGCTTCCCTTATTTGAACTAAATCTATTGTGCTCCACTTGCTTGACCTAGTCTTGCTGGTTAAGTGAAAGTGGCAGTTGAGTTGAAGTAGTCAAAGCCCTTGTGGGTTAGGACTCTGCCGAGCTTTAGAGACTAGGGGATGATTAGCGATTAACCTGTAAAGGTAAAATTTTCATATACATTAAAAAGGTTAATTTCTTGCATTTTATAGTTAGTTGTGTGTAAATTAGATGATTTAAATTAGTATAGGGTANTAGGGGATGATTAGCGATTAACCTGTAAAGGTAAAATTTTCATATACATTAAAAAGGTTAATTGCTTGCATTTTATAGTTAGTTGTGTGTAAATTAGATGATTTAAATTAGTATAGGGTAGATTTCGGCACTAATTTGAATTGCAGGGCAAGAATATAGTTTAGCAAAGTTTAGGGGCAAAAAAGGAATTTGAAAGGTGGATTGCAATGAAGAGAAGATGAAAAAAACAGCCAGAAGGAGGCGTTCGAATGCCAGCCACCACAATCCGAACGCCTATAACCGCCTCAAGATTCCCTGATAGAAGACCGCAAGAAATGGAGACTGACAGAGACTGGCGTCCGAATGCCAGCCACTAGCATTCGGATGCCCTTTCCCATGAGCAATCTCAGCAGTCTAAAAAACCAGAGAATTATAGGCGTCTGAATGCCTTCCATTATCATTCGGATGCTCCTGTCGAAGTTTGAAAGCTGTGTTCACACCTTAAACTTCAGATTATTGGCTGTTTTTGCAACCTATTGCCGCCCATCTCCCTCTATAAATACGCTCTATGCTTTAGGAGGAGGGGATCACTTTTAGGATTCATTTTCTCTACGATTTTCTCTTANTGCCTTCCATTATCATTCGGATGCTCCTGTCGAAGTTTGAAAGCTGTGTTCACACCTTAAACTTCTGATTATTGGCTGTTTTTGCAACCCATTGCCGCCCATCTCCCTCTATAAATACGCTCTATGCTTTAGGAGGAGGGGATCACTTTTAGGATTCATTTTCTCTACGATTTTCTCTTAAAGCCTTGTATTATTTTAGAGATCTCCAGCTTCTACAGTTCTTAAGCTTTTTTCTTTATTTAATAAGATGAACTTCACTCACCTTTCTAGCTTCCTTTGAGCTTTAAAGGGTGAGTTGTATTTCATTTGATCTTTAATAAAGAACAGAGCCTTGCATTTATATATTTAAATNGTTTTTTTCTTTATTTAATAAGATGAACTTCACTCACCTTTCTAGCTTCCTTTGAGCTTTGAAGGGTGAATTGTATTTCATTTGATCTTTAATAAAGAACAGAGCCTTGCATTTATATATTTAAATTCCAATCGTCTTCTCGTTTTTACCTTCCATAACCTTAAATTCTCTTTAATTAGAGGGATGAGTTTCTCTCACTTTTCTAGCCTACTAATGGCCATGAAGGGTGAGCAGTTTCTCATACACTCTTTAGTAGAGGGGGATGGATTTATGTTGAAGTGTTTGGATTACATATATTTGTGCAATGTTTATTATGCTTACTTGTGTAATCTAACTTATGAATGGTTGAATGAATCTAGCAAGTAACATAGTTTGTATAGTTGTTTGATTACCTATGGACAAGTTGAGTCATGTTGTAGTTAATGCCTATAAATTCCTATATGTATTTAAGCTAGGTCTTTATGCTTTTCTTCACCTACATGGTGTTTAACTATATGATTGATTATCTAACCCAACTAGATGTTTTGTTTATGTTATTTGATTGAGTATTGATTGGTTAAGTCCTAGCATTTTCAATTTTTATAACTGTGGGCTAATGTCGGAGCTAAACTTTTTATTCTAAAATCAATCATCATCTTCCAGTTAACCTACTATTGACACAGGGGTTAGCTGAGATTCCATTATTGCACAAGTATTGCATTCACACACTCATGCATGATTTCGGAACCCTGAACTAAGGAGTGACTTTTCTTTATCATTAAACACTTTACATTATCTCTTGCACACAACTCTACACAATACAATCACTCACTCTTTAAGCTTTCTTGTGTCTTTGTCACTATTGATATTTTATTTAAGATACCTCCATTAGTCCCCAGAGGATTTGATTTCGGACTAACCTAGTTATAACTACAACTCAATCGCTTATACTTGGGCGTGCATATCTTTAGTCAAGTCAATTACCTAATGAGTTGGAGCTAATCTGAGCTGTAGAGCTTAGCATTTGGAGCATGTGCATTTTTCTTGTTTATCAATTGTCCCCAGTTTAACTCAATGTGACTTGCATTTAATCCGCATTTAGCGCTTATACCTGTTAGTACCTAGGGAGGTGGTGTCATGACTCTTGCAAAAATTGCCAAAGAGTCATTGTGTGGCTGGTATTTAAACACATCTCATTGTCAAATTCCATACTTCAAGAACTCGTCCAAGAGCCCGGGTATGCCTCTTTTCCTTGATTTTGATCTTCGTGATTTCTTCTTGATTTGCTTGAACCCTTAAAGCTAGAGTATTTAGGTTGGAGTCACACTTTTCAATTCCACTTCTACCATTTCTATTTTATTAATTGGAAGGGTTTATGACCTTGGTTACCTGAACCTGTTCGTCGATTAATTTTCCTAGACTCGACTCGAGTCCATATTCGATTCCTGCCAATCTCTGTTTTCTCATAGTTCCACTTGCTTCCTCCTCCTAATTTGTACATTCATCACCACAGATTTACAACTATGAGTGATTTGGAGTGAACCCTTTATGGGTGCACCCCATCTCTTGTTCTTAAGGCCGATAGGGCCAACAAAGAACCTAACTCCATTCTAGAGATTGCTTCTTCATCCATTATTGTCATGGGGGAAAAGCAATTCTAGAGTTTTCTTGACGAAAACTAGATGAAATTAGGGAGCTCTAATAAATTCCCCATTATGTTCGCCTTTATCTTCCTTCTTTAGAAGAAACTGCAGATTCTTTTAGACCCAACAAAGTTTGTTTTTATGAGTTGATCTTTGAGAGTAGTGTTTGATTCCCTATGCCACAGTATATTAGGGAAGCCCTTCACTATCTAAACCTTACCCCTTCTCAATTAACTATAAATCGTTGGAAATTTTTGGTTGGCATCGGTGTTCATTGGGCAAGAGCCAATTGTGTGGGGTCTCGCCCTACCATAGCAAAACTTCTCCATTTTTACAAGCTTACCCTACTCTTGGCAAAGCATAGTGTGGTTCTATTTTTCAAAAAGAATGAAAACTGAGCTTCTCACCGGCTATTCTTCCAGTGTGAAGGTGGTACTCCTTCAATATTTCCCTCTGTTTCTCCAAGCTCTAGGGTTACTAAGGACATAGGTCTAGACCTCGTTGACATATGAAGGAGGAGACCCTTTTCTTGAGGTGCCTTTGTTGCTCGTTGATTTCCCTCTTGCTCCTTCCAAAGATAAAAGGAAAGGGATAGGGAAGCTATTTGAAATCAAATCTATTGGTGGACAGAAACAGGCCCCAAAAGAGTCCAGGCCTTTAATGTGGGAGAACAAAAAAGATGCCATAATTCATCTTCTTCAATTTCTCAATAACAACGAGATTTAGGCTGCCTTTAAAATTGGGCCAAACTGGGCAGTGGCTGCTCTCTAGGAGACCATTTGGAAGGTGAGATTTATTTTGGTTCTTTNTGATCTTTGAGAGTAGTGTTTGATTCCCTATGCCACAGTATATTAGGGAAGCCCTTCACTATCTAAACCTTACCCCTTCTCAATTAACTATAAATCGTTGGAAATTTTTGGTTGGCATCGGTGTTCATTGGGCAAGAGCCAATTGTGTGGGGTCTCGCCCTACCATAGCAAAACTTCTCCATTTTTACAAGCTTACCCTACTCTTGGCAAAGCATAGTGTGGTTCTATTTTTCAAAAAGAATGAAAACTGAGCTTCTCACCGGCTATTCTTCCAGTGTGAAGGTGGTACTCCTTCAATATTTCCCTCTGTTTCTCCAAGCTCTAGGGTTACTAAGGACATAGGTCTAGACCTCGTTGACATATGAAGGAGGAGACCCTTTTCTTGAGGTGCCTTTGTTGCTCGTTGATTTCCCTCTTGCTCCTTCCAAAGATAAAAGGAAAGGGATAGGGAAGCTATTTGAAATCAAATCTATTGGTGGACAGAAACAGGCCCCAAAAGAGTCCAGGCCTTTAATGTGGGAGAACAAAAAAGATGCCATAATTCATCTTCTTCAATTTCTCAATAACAACGAGATTTAGGCTGCCTTTAAAATTGGGCCAAACTAGGCAGTGGCTGCTCTCTAGGAGACCATTTGGAAGGTGAGATTTATTTTGGTTCTTTCCTGCCTCTTACTATTTCTTATAGTTTACACTTGTTAGCAGTATGCTCAATTTTCTTGTTTATGTAGTTGGTCATCCTTGCCACAAGCGTTTCTCATACAACCTTGGCCGAGAAGAAGTTCCTTCACCTAATGGAGAAGATGTCAAAGTTGTAGAAGAGCTTGGTGGCTTACCAAGAAAGGGTTCTTCAAGAGTTGAAAGAGAAGGGGATATACAACTTAGCTTGAAAGAGATGATCGAGGAGTGGAACAGGTTCTTAGATAACAATAAGGAGTTGGATTTGAAACTTGCTACCTCTAAAAGTTCTGGTTTAGAGCTCTCCTGTTAGATGGAGAAGGTAGTAAAGGAGAATAAGGCCCTTTCCCTCAAAGTTTATGTTATCTCTTCTTCCTTGAAGAAAAAGGATTTTGAGCTCTCCAATGTCTTAGAAAAAAAGAGTTTGAGCTTGTCGAGGCTATGAGAGTTGCTACTAATATGACTATAAAGGAGTTCAAGGACTCTTTGGCTTTAAGAAGGAGATGTTCAAGTACTATGATAGTGGTTTTTAGGAGTTCAGGGCTGGTGCCATGCATTCATTTCTAAAGCTTGACTCCTCAAAGATCCTATTTGAGGATGATCCTCCCTCAGTTATTGAGAAAGAAGGAGAGAAGGAAGAATAGGTCGATGATGAGGCCACCAACTCGACTGTAGTGAACCCTAAAGACCAACCTAAGTTTGGGCTTCAAGCAAAAGCTCATACGAAGGACTCGGTAAAGGTGATTCTTTCAGTTGAAAAAGAAAATTAGGCTTTTTTTTTTTTTTTTTTTATAACTGCAACTTCCTTCATATTTTTGTCTAATCAAGTACTTTTTCCATTATAGCAATCTTATTTCTCCCTTCTCATTTCCTTGTTGTAAATAATTCTAATGTCTTTATGCTTTTGGTACCCCTTTTAGGCAAGGTGCCTTAAGTTTCCAATGAACCATTTAGGTTTAATCCGAGTTAAGGGAAATGAACCATTTTGGTTCAATCTGAGATAGGCGCGGTGGTTTACCAGTTTCCTTAACCCAATCAAACCAAGGTAGATGTTCCCCTGACGTGGTACAAAAAAGGTTTTGCAACTTGGAATTCTGCTAGTTAAGAATGACATATTTATTTATGCAAGATAAAAAAGCTATAGAGAAAGCCTTATTACAATTAGAGAAAAAACATGGTTACTTGTAGAACTTTTTCAAGTGTTCTTCATTCCATGGGCAAGCTAACCTGACTCCTTCTAAAGTCTCTAGGTGGTAATATCCAGACATTAAGATCTTCACGAATTGGTATGGCTTTTCCCATGGTGCCCCCAACTTCCCTTCCTTAGGATCTTCGGTAGCTAGGGTTACTTTCCTCAATACCAAATCATTTGGGAGGAATGTATGTGGCATGAATTTGAAGTTGTGGTATCTAGCCATCTTGCGCTAGTATGTTGCAAATCTTACATGTGATTCTTCCTTCTTTCTTCTAGCAAAACTAGATTCCAAGCTAGTTACTGGTAAATCTGAGTTGGATCTAATTCCTTGGTTCTATATGTTTTTAGTTCTATATCCATTGGGATTACTGCTATTGTTCTGAATGCTAAGGAGAATGGGGTTTTTCCTATAGGGGTTCTAATAGTAGTTCTTTAAGCCCATAGGATGCTTGAGATTTGTTCTACCCACAACTCTTTAGATTATTCAAGCCTAGTCTTGATGCTTTTGAGAAGAGTTTGAATTGTTACCTCAATTTGCCCATTGCCTTATGCATGACCTAGCGAGGAATAATAATTATGGATTTTGAGATTGGAGCAAATCCTTCTAAACTTATTATTTTCAAACTGTCTAACATTGTCACCAATAATGACTGCTAGATGCCAAATCTGCACATAATCGACTTCCATACAAACCCGTGCATCTTTTGTTGAGTGATTATTGCTAGTGGCTCTACCTCAGACCACTTTGTGAAGTAATCTATGCCACAATTGCAAACTTATTCTAACACTTCCCCATTGGGAGGGATCCCAAAATGTCAATCATCCACTAGGCGAATGATCACAAGCTCACTATTGGGGTGAGCTCTAAAGGAGGTAACTTTGGAACAAAGACAAACATCTAACATTGCTCAAATTTTTGCACATAACTTTGTGCATCCTTCTTCGTTGTGGGCCCAAAATATCCTTATCTGAGCACTTTTTGTGCTATGGTGTGTCCTCCCAAGTGGTTTCCACAAATTCCTTCATGCACCTCCTTAAGCACTTATGTTGTTTTACTAGGAGCCAAACACCTTAAGTAAGGGAGTGAATACCCTATCTTGTAGAACTCCAAGTTGAGTATTGTGTACCTAGCCACCCTTTTGCGAAGCTTTCTTACCTTTTGGATGTCCCAAGTGAGAGTTTTGTGCTATAGATATGCAAATATTTGATCTAGCTTCCTTCTAGTGAGATTTGTTGGACATCTAGGCCTTGGTTGCTCGGCTATTGCAAGAATTCTATAGAGATGGTCCGTACTAGATCAGCAGATAGAGCTGAGGCTAATTATGGTAGAGAATCTGTAGGGGAATTCTCTGACCAAGGTATCTGGATGACCCCAAAGTGCTCAAACTCTTATACCAATTTCTTCACATTGTTTAAGTAAGATTTCATTTAGGGCTCTAGAGCCTTATACTTCACTTACAACTGTCTTACCACTAGTCACGAGTCATTATAAGCATGTATGTGTTCTACTGTTAATGACTTAGCTAGCTTTACACCTACAATGAGGACTTCATATTCTACCTCATTTTTTGAGACCTTGAAGACAAAGCATTGGGCATACTCAATTTTCTCCTCTATTGGAGAGATGAGGATCAAATCGGCCCCTCTTCCAATGAGTTAGATGACCCATCTACATATATCTTCCAACTGATCAGTTAGGTGTCAATTTGCAAGGGTTCTACTATCTCGTTTGAAAATTCTACAATTAGGTCAGCCATTATCTGCCTTTTATAGCAATCTGTGGTGTATACTATACGTGAAACTCTCCTCACTCAATGGACCATTTTGCTAGTCATTCAAATAGGTTAAGCTTCTGCAGGATGCTTCGTAGGGTAACGCCAGTTACCAACTTGATCGTATGTGCCTAAAAGTAAGGCCTCAAATTCCTAGAAGCTATTATCAATATGAAGGCTACCTTCTCCACTATTGGGTACTTGGATTCTGCCCACCTTAGTGTTTGGCTTACATTGTAAATCGAATGATGAACTCCTTTCCTTTGACACACTAAGACTACACCAGTTGCTTCTTGTGATACAGTAAGATACATGTACAACCTCTCTTCTTACTCTGGTCTGACAAGGAGTGGTATTTGCTGATGTACTGCTTAAGAGCTTTAAAGGTAGCTTCACACTTCAGGGTCCATTTAAAGGTTTTCCTTAGTATTTTGAAGAACGACAGACATTTCTCACCAGCTGAGAAATAAACNGCTGGTGCCATGCATTCATTTCTAAAGCTTGACTCCTCAAAGATCCTATTTGAGGATGATCCTCCCTCAGTTATTGAGAAAGAAGGAGAGAAGGAAGAATAGGTCGATGATGAGGCCACCAACTCGACTGTAGTGAACCCTAAAGACCAACCTAAGTTTGGGCTTCAAGCAAAAGCTCATACGAAGGACTCGGTAAAGGTGATTCTTTCAGTTGAAAAAGAAAATTAGGCTTTTTTTTTTTTTTTTTTTATAACTGCAACTTCCTTCATATTTTTGTCTAATCAAGTACTTTTTCCATTATAGCAATCTTATTTCTCCCTTCTCATTTCCTTGTTGTAAATAATTCTAATGTCTTTATGCTTTTGGTACCCCTTTTAGGCAAGGTGCCTTAAGTTTCCAATGAACCATTTAGGTTTAATCCGAGTTAAGGGAAATGAACCATTTTGGTTCAATCTGAGATAGGCGCGGTGGTTTACCAGTTTCCTTAACCCAATCAAACCAAGGTAGATGTTCCCCTGACGTGGTACAAAAAAGGTTTTGCAACTTGGAATTCTGCTAGTTAAGAATGACATATTTATTTATGCAAGATAAAAAAGCTATAGAGAAAGCCTTANTTTAATTACCACACATGAAGAGTTAGCATAATGCAAGTGGGAAAATCCAGCAAGGCTCCACCTTCCGAACAGTGGAGAGGCGTCCGGATGGTCCACTTTGGCGGCTCATCAGCATCCTCCTCCATTCTCCTCTATAAATAGCCATGCAAATTTAATTCAAAAGGAGGCCAAACACCAAGAGCTTCAAAGAGAAATCCAAGAGAAAAAAAAAANGGCATTAAGATCTTCACGAATTGGTATGGCTTTTCCCATGTTGCCCCCAACTTCCCTTCCTTAGGATCTTCGGTAGCTGGGGTTACTTTCCTCAATACCAAATCATTTGGGAGGAATGTATGTGGCATGAATTTGNAAGAAAGAGAAAAGAGAAAAGAAAAAAGAAAAACTTACAACTCGATCCGGTCCGTCATACACTTTAGTCCAAACTCTGTACTTTTATATTTCTGTTGTATCTTTCTATTTGGATAGTTGAACTGCTGTCACCTTTTCGTCATAACTGATAATTAAGGTGATTGTATTCCAGTTGTTCCTTATGAAAGACGTTTTAGGGTTTATATTTTAATTTCAGTTGTAGTGAAAATTGCCCGCATTCCTTGCTTATCTGTAGCAATGGGGCATGAGTAATTACTTATATCCTCTAGTGAGAGGTAAACATATGTATAATATTGGTTAAATTCTGAAGATGCTGATATTTTATATATTTATATATCTATATNTCGTGAACTTACACAAGGCTTTTGCGCTGGATTCACCAAGCTATTTTTCTACCCAAATTTTAATTTTTGAGCATGAGTTCGTCTCACAGAGCTACTCTCCCCACCTTCAGCAAACGTTTTGGAGATTACTTAACCTTCTCCAATGGGTTGCTAATGTGGTGTTTCATCTCAGTTGGGGTTGTACCTCCATCTTTTCCTGACCCCTGTGTTCTATGTATCTCCCAANGGTGTATCCTCCACCGGAATGCTGAGGATGTTAATTGATACAGGGTACAAAACTTAAATGATTCTCATGAATGGCTTATCCTTCGGGATTATCAGGGTTATTTAATTATTATATATATAACTATCAGACACTAATGACCTTAGTGATTCTCATGAATGACTTGTCCTTCTGGATTATNGTGTTCTATGTATCTCCCAAGATGTCCAATTTGGATGAGATCTTTTCATTTGGTCTTTGAGTACCTAGCAATCCTCAATGTTGTGGCCATGACCTATAGTATTTGTCACCGAGCCTCTTACTTAGGTTAGTTTTTGATTAACCTTAATTAATATATAAATTAGAATAGTTAATAAAATTGAATTAGTGTGATAAAATAACAAAACACTATTAATTAGAGTCAATTAGGGTTTGTGTGTAATTAGGGTTTTATGTGTATTATNCAACATTTCTATCGGTATGGTTTATCCTCCACCAGAACACTGAGAATGTTTAACTTGTATATGTATCACAAATATAGTCAACTGAATAATTCAAGTATTCCTCATGAATGATTTGACTTTCTGGTTTACTTGGATTAGTCAATTGACATATCTATAACCAACTAACCTAAGAAGTTGTTGTGTTATGACTAATCCCACCAGTTGACCTAAG